CCCCCCCCAACAAAAACCAACCCAACAACCTGTGGTGTTAATTTTTATTTGAATTTTAAATTTAAATACTGTGATTTCTCAGGAATAAAACACACTTTGTGACCCACAAAACATATTATGGCCTTTTAGATAGCAAGGTTATGTAATGGAGATCAGGGGTCAGCAATCTTTCAGTAGCAACAGACAGAGGTCAATCAAAGGTGGGCCGTTGCTTGGGGCATGGCTATGGCCTCATGCCCCCGAAGCTCCGCACCGCTGAACGCCCCACTGATTCTTCCCCGCTGAATGGCATTGCATGCCGCTAATTCCCCCCTTTGCCAAATGCTGCCCATTGCTTCTCTTGCCAACTGCCATCAGCATCCTGACTTCAGAGGCCACATAGACTCTCGATTCAAGCTACAGGTTGCCAACCCCTGCTTAGATGTTTGGGAAACTCTTCCCTTGCTACTCATTTCTCTGGAAGTGCCTTTTTCGGGAAAATTTCACCTGATGCTTGTTCCCTAAACCTTCTTTCCCCAGTGTAACAACAAGTTCAGTTCTTACTTTCTTTGCATTAAATGTATTTGTTTCCCCCCAATGATTTTACCATCTAGTAACAGTTTTCCAGGCTGTTTTCACAAGAGATTGTGTATCCATTTACCACTCTGCCTCTTAAAGAGTATGGGGAATGTCCCCTAATATTACCCCTGACACAGCCCATTTTCTCAGCACAGCATCAGAGTCAGAGGAAGCAGAACCGGTTTTCCCTCCCTCTGCTCTTTCCTTTGTTCACAGGAACACAACGTTGCCCAGAAACGCTGCAGTAAGAGGATTAGGGTTAGTCTGACAGTCTGTAACCTTTCTCCATGCATTTCCTCTTGCTCTCCCTTTTCAGTCTCTCTCTCATCTCTTGCTTCCCGCTTGGAGGCTTGCGCACTATTTCATCCCTGAAGGATTTGCTTTCCCATGACAAATGGGATTGGGTCTGTATGTAAAAGCAGGAACTCTGGGACTTGGAAAAGCCCTGAACACATCCTCCGCAAAATCCCTAAATTCTCTCAATTACCTGCAGTCTCTAGCTTGGAAGCCAATGCCGGCAGAGCTAAGGTCTACTGTCAGGGGCTAATTCCAGCCACCAGAGAAAGTCCCCCCACCTCAGATGAATACAAAGGGAAGTTTAATAAAAGTCTCATTCTTACACAGACCACACCAAGGAAGAGGCAACTGCTTCGCTCCAGCTTCCGGGTCACTACAGAGGCAACCATTGCGTGTCTGACCCAGAAAGCTCCACCCCCGATAAGCCAAGCACACAGAGAAAAGCTGCAGTGATTGCAATGATGCAGGAAATATGGAAGAAACAGATTTGTTTGGTAATATCAAACAGCTAGTCCAATAAAAGACATTATCAGACAAATCTTGATTCTCACTGAGAAAGAGTCAGTCACCCTCTGTTCCTTTAGTAATATAACAAGCAGGCATATTTGCCAAGGAGTGAGATCAGTATTAGACACTTTCTCTACAATTTCTCCCAGTGTAGCATGCAGGTAACTCCCCTAGGTTAGCATTCTCTCCTCCTTCCTCCCCCCATAATCACCCATGAATATGCATCTCTGCTCCCCTTCCTCCATTCTCACGTGATATTTGTCCTGTTTTACAAACACATTTGCAATTAATTTGGAAGCCAACAAAACTTTGGCAATATGGTGCCAGTCTTAGCCTACTCTAATTGTTTCTGTAGCTAGCTCAGTAGTCCACAGCCCTCTAGCATACTTTAGGCATTATGTAGGCTGGGATCTAGAAGATAATTCATTAGCACTTGAGTAGACAAAGGCAGGTGCTTTGTGTAACACATTAGCCGATACCTTCCAAATCTTAGGAAACATTCAAACACTGACGTGGAGGCGTGGTTGCAGAATTGCAGGCATAATTAGCAGTAAAGGAATGGTGGCACAGGCTTCAGCAGCAGCTAACAAACAGGTGTTTTCCCTGGATTCACGGTTGGTTTATACTCTCATTTCAATCTCATACCACCATGTTTTCACAACTGCTAAATGGTATCTGAACGTGTGTTGTGGTGTATTCTCCTCACATGCATTACAGATAAGCAAATCATCAATTTGACTGCATAACACAATGCTAGTCCCAAATGACTGTTTATCTGTAGATTGGATAAATGTATAATCCCTTTAAAAGCAAAACATATTTCAGCCCCATTGTTTGCGTTGGAGCTTGATTGTAGTCTGGTTAACTGTATATTGATAATAACTGTAAATACCTACTTCATAACTAAATATACTTCTTTTATTTGCAAGACACAGTGAAGTGAAAACAGCTGTCAAAGGCTTGCTTAACACAAAACCCCAATATAGACGAGCACTAGCACAGAATAGGTTTCTCAACAGCTGAGTAGACACGAGTTGTAATTCTGCCTATTTGTCACTTCACAGCCTGTTTCTTGTTAGCACCCTGTTTTGGGAAAACATATATATTAGGAAAACAACTTAGCAAGCATATGCTTAATTAAGTACATTCCTGAAAAAAGCAACTTGAATTAATGCCTAGAAGGTTTTTTTTGCTCTCTGCTTCATTGGTCTCAAAGTAATTTTCTTTCTTTAGATAGGGAAGAAATGTATCCTAAGTGTCTAGGTGTTTGCAAAAACATAAAACACTAGAAAAACAGAGCAGGAAAGGATCCCAGAAGTTCACCTAGTCCCCTGCTTTAGGCATGATGAATCCAGTCTAAACCATCCCAGACAAATGTTTCTCTAACATGAGCTTTCTAACTTCCTATGACAGAGATTCCACAGCCTCTCTAGGTAATTTGTTTTAATGTTTAACTACCCGTATACTGGTATTTAGAAAGTTCTTACTAGTATCTAACTAAAATCTCCTTTGTTGCAATTTCAAGTTATGTCTTGTCCTGCCTGTTAATGCCAGACCATTGATCATTATCATCTTTATAAAAACGTCTTTAAATTTGGAGATCATCATCAAATCTGTCCCCCAATTTTCTCTTTTCTAGAGTAAACAAGCCCAATTCTCCAAACTTTTTTCATTTTGTATATTCTAGAGCTCTAATAATTTTTGTTGTTTTCCTCCGGATTCTTTCCAATTTGTCTACCTTTTTTCTTGAAATGCAATGCTGGACACAGCACTGAAGATCTGGACCCACCAGCACTAATTAGAGTGGAATATCTAGGTCCAAACCCTCTCTGGGTGTGGGGTTAGATTCTGTAAGTTAGGTCCTCTGGCTTCCTAAATTAATACTCTAGTTGCTCAACTATTGGGGAAAAAGATGGCAAGTGCCTCGCTCATGTTTTGTGGTTAGTAATTATGTCCAGTTTGCATACATACCTAGTTTTCCACGTTCCCAGGAACCAAATTCTAACCTGTGTATAAGTGGCATTCTTAATCAAAATACTATGAAATCTGGACACTTTGACAAATGGGAAAGACCAGAATGTCACCCTAGATGTCTTACCTTGGGTTATACAAAGCATGTAACAGCCAGATGCGATACATGTATTCTTTGCATGCATCATTGCTGGTCTGTCCAACTTCTAAACAATGGAGGACCATATACTGTGTAAGCTGCAGATCCCTGGGCCACGCACTGCAAGGGCTGCAGACCTCCAGGGTTCTTCCCAATGCATGAGCAGCTTGGCTGTTTTCCATTATATGTGCAAACTAGTCAGCCCAGTTTCCTTACCACAAGTGCAGCCCAGCTCCCATCCAACCCAATGCAAACAACACAAGACTTGCTCATGGGTCATACATGCACAGCTCCTGTCTTGTGGCATTGGCAGCCCAGATTTTCCTGATGAAGATACAGCACCTTCTAGCTGCCCAGCCTCCCACAAGCAGATAGGAAGCAGAACCTGTAAGAGGGAGGTGGAGCCTGGACACTCCAGCCACCTAAGCTACTGGAGCAGTGAAGGCAGCAGCAGCTGGGCAAGAGCCTGGGCAGCCCGGCAGCGTTGGATTGTTTGTGCAAGGGTCTGTCCATGAAACATGTTTCTACTTTGAACATTCATATCTTCTTTAAAATGGACTTCCTCTTTTGTTCTTGCCAGGCCCTCTCCACTTCCTTCATCTCATCCTCTACTCCACTTGAAATTGTACTTGTTGCTCCAGCATTTCCCTGATTTTCTAAAGGACTGTTGAATCAGATGGATTCACTAAATATTCTGCCTACTTGTATCATGTCCGGCATATGTGACCAACCAAGTGTGTCAGCCAACTCTAGTGCTCACCTTGGAAATTGTATCTCTGCCCAACAGTATTGGACGTACCACTAGGACAGCTTGTTCTAAATCCTGCTTCACCTTTCTGTGCTTAAATGACACTTACATATCCACATAACTGCAATTTTAGGCACTTATGCTCAGTTTAGATTCTGTAACTGTGTTTACATGTGCGCTTAACTGCAGAGTAGACTAATTAACTGCACAGTAAAGCATCACCATCTATGCATGCAATGCTGTTAGTCTGCTGTAAGTTAACGCAGACGTAAGATAATACTGTCAGTGACAGGACTATCTTATGGCAGGTTAATTAACTGCAATTAAACACACATGTAGATGCTGACCATGGGCATAAATTGCACCCATGGGCCCAGCCAGCAGTGGGCCAGACTCCTGCCTACTGCCTAGCCACATGGCTCTGCACTTTCAGCAGCCTCATGCCCTAGCCAGCCTCTGCACCGCCAGTCAGAGCCCAGGACTGACACCCATCCTCTCCCAGTTGCTGCTGTCCCAGGCTTACCTGTGCCTGAGAATGGTTTACTCTGGCTCAAACTGTTCCAGAGTTTATTGCTTTGTGTTAATTCCACGTGTAGATGCATCCAGTTTGTACTTGTGATGGGACAGAACTGCTCAGGTATGCATACACCTGCCTGAAGTGAAATGGTGGTGAAAGAAAAAAAGCACCATTTTATAGGCCCAGGGATTAGGGCACTTGCCCAGGTTTCAGGCCTTCCTCACCCAGAGAGGGATTTGATCCTGTACTTCATGCTTCCAACAAAGTGTTTTGAAACACCACGCCACAGGCTACACCTTACCTGAAGCACCCCTGCCCTCCTCTTAAAGCTGGCTCACTGAATGCACTATTACAGACTGACTATAGGCATACTAGTGGAGCCCCTCTACACCAGGTACTACAGCCAAGAGCTCTTACCCACTGGATATGGTTTACATGAGTGTGTAGCTGGCAAATGTAGCTGACTGTCCCTACAACAGATCTGTTTCACAAAGTATGCTACTGCAGATACTGAGTTTCATACAGGTTTTCGGTGTTGACGCCTGGGCTGCGTGGTTCACATCTAGATGAGAATATGTCTCTGAAGATTTACTCTTAGGTACTTTTTTCCAAATATTGGAACAATCTGAATATGTGAGAATATCAGCTTTCATTAAAAAAAATGAAAGCTTTATACCTTTGTGTTGGCAAAGAAAAACTTCAGAGTGCGACTTCAGTGCACCCAAAGGCTCAGAAACCCAATTCAAAGAGAAAGTATCATATTTGTTTAATCTCCCAATTTTTGAGCCCAACTCATTGATTTTGATCTGCTTCAGTTGGTAATACTGATAATTTATCTTTACAATTCTGTCTGGGATTTAGGTGTCTAAATCCTATTGAATGTTAGGTTCTTAATTCTCTTAAGTGCTTTTAAAAATCTTCTTTTGCTTCTCTTCTCCTTAGTTCACTGGTAACTGAAAAAGAAATGTTGTAGAAGACACTGTCACATTGGTAACAGTCAATTTTTCTTCCTGTCCTTTCCTCTGAAAGCATCCAAGACACTGTGCTGTTGGGATAACTAAGTTCTAATTTATTACTACTCATCAAAAAAAAAAAGAATAAAAAAAAGTGAGCCATCATAACAAGTCAATGCACAAAAAGTCCAATCCAGTACATTGCATTTCAAAAAACAAACAAGCACGTTGCTGGTCACAAGCAGTAAAACAACATTTCCAAGCTGATCTGAAAGTACAGGCAACTGGAGAGAAAGACAGTGGGAGCCAGTTACAAAAGCAAATGAATAGATACTAGAAAATATATAAATCTCATTTAAATTGTAATTAAGTAATTGCTGTCTAATATCATAGCATTAACCACTCATCTTCCAGCCACTGCTTTCACGCAAGGGTCAGGTTCCACCATCTTCAATTCCAGCTGAGGCTTTTATCCCCTCAGGGTTGTCCCTGGAGATGCGGGAGTACAGCAGAGGCAGTCTGTGTTTAAGGTTCTGCCATCCCCACCCAGGTCACTGTGATAGATGAGGGGCCTGGAAGAGCACCAGGCTTTTCTTTTCCCTCTGACCTTGTCAAAGAGTATCAGCCTGGCTGAAGTTACTTGTCTCCCCAGGTCCCTTCTCGAACAATGCAAAGACCCACGTCCAAGAGGGTACGACCTGAAACAGGACTGGGACTGGCACGACGTATATTTCTGATCCTAGGGGACATTAACACAAATGGAAGTCATCCCTGTGTGCTGTTCCCTTTAGAATCAAGGCAGATGACTCTTGGAGGAGAAACTGAGCTCTCTGTCACGAAAGATTGCAATACAGGCCCCCAGCTGTGCTGTGGAGCTTGGAAGTGCCTTGGCCAAATTGTTTGCCCTAGTAATCTTCTTCAGCAACAAGTTCTACATACCACACTAAAATTTTCTCCATGAATAGACTTGTGCTTTCATGGGCATTACTCATGCAACAAGGTCTCACCTCCATGTCCTCTTCCCTTATGTTATTTCTATCCTGAAATGCCCGATTCCCCACATTTCCTGTGCTGGATGGGCTGGTCCCCGTAGGTCCCTTGTAACTCTGCTCTAGGAGTTTCTTGTTTTACCTTCTGTCTTTGAGTTACTGCTAAGGGGACTCTCTCAAGTATGGCCTGAAAAGGAGACAGGACAAAGGGGAAGAAAATGGAACTGGGAGGTAGGAAGGAGAGTGGGGCTGGGATGAGGAGAGGGAAAATGACTTAGGAGCAGCTTCTTAACCTTTTCCCCTCCTACTATATAACCTCCCAACATCTTCCACCATTTCCCCTCAGCCCATCCATATATTCCCATCATCATACACTTGATCCTATCTCTACCCCCACTATTCCTTCACTCTTCTCACTCCAGCTCCCATATTCTCCATCCCCAAACACTTGATTTCCCATTTTCAGCTCCCTCCACCTTCCATCCACATCCCCCTCTTTATAAGGCAATGGTTTTCCCTTTGGTCCAGTGAGACCATAAAGAGACTGCCAGGTGTCTTAGAAGAATGCGGGTGGCAGGAGGTTGCAAGGCAATCAGTCATCCTCCTCTGCATCACTCCAGAAACAGGCAACTGGAATAGGAGAAACAGGGGCCAGTGTCACTCAGATCCCTTGAGAAAGTGGAACAGGGAACCCAGATAAGTCACCTGCTTCCAGGATCCAAAGGAAGCAGAGGGCAGTGTACCTCTATTCCCTTCCTCGAAGTGCAGGGAGGGGCAGCACTGGTTGTCAAACACGGGAAGAGGACCTTCAACCTAGGGGAAGATAAGTGTCAGCTTGTTCTCTGTCTCTCTACCTGGATGGCAGCAGCTGGGGCTGTAGCAATGAGGACGAGCTGATCAAAGTGTCTCCTCCTCTGCCTGGTGTTGTCGCCCTGGACCCCAGAGACAGGCAGCCAGATACTGATACCCATTTCAGCCAGCCCTCACCAGGGCATCTACAGCGTTCGTCTCCAGTGCAGAGTCTCTGTTTGTATCAAGGTGTCAGCTCTGATCAAAGCTTTTCTCCACAGTCAGGGTGTTTATAAGACTTTCTGTCCAAAGCATTTTCTCTGTGTCACAAGGTCCAAATTCCACTCACAGTTAGCAATCATACAAGGGTTTCCTCTCTTGTGTGGAATCTCTCCTGTGCCATACGTTTTTTCCCCACAGCCAGGGCACTTACAGGGTCTGTTTATTATATGCTGAGCAGGTATAATATGCTCAGTGCTCTACAGAACACAGAAGATGACATGGTCCCTGCTCCAAGGAGCTTACAACCTAAGAGGCAAAGAGAAGACAACAGATCAGATACACAAAGCGGAGAGAGCGAGGAAATTTGCTCCTGGATCTAGGACCTGCTTGAGGCATAAGCACCAGGGACCATCTAAAGTGGTGCCTATACCTCAGCCAGGCCCTTGGTCTAGAAGCAAATTCCCCCCTGTTGGCTAGTAGCTGGAGCATCACAGAGCAGTGCAATGTTTGTTATTAATAAGTAAATAGTCAAGCTTCTGCTGGCAGCAGACTAACACAGATGCACTTTGCAGAAAAAGCAAGTCCCAAGCAAGGAACTGAGGGAGGGGAGAGGGCACAAGCCTGCTCCACCAGCATAGGGAGACGTCCCAGGTGTAGCATTCATTCTTTGCATCGTTATCAAACATCTGGCCAAATCCACTGGGGTGGTGAGCAGCTGTATATCCATAAGGTTTTCAGTACTGCCCATCACTGTGATATCGTTGTGCTGCCATGGGTGCTGCAGGTGACTGGTACTACTCCAAAACTGGCCCAGCCTGCATGAAATCTAAGCTAGGGGGCCATCCCTCTTCCCTCTGGACATATACGGGACTGTACCTCAAACAGTTACCTATCAGCCAAATGCTCCGCTAACTTCATTGGCTTAGCTCGAGTTAAGTCACAGAAGCTCTGCCAGTTTTCATCAGCTGAGGATCTGGTTCCAAATCTTTATTGCCCGCCCCACTGTGACTATGAATGCAAGTAAGGATAAAGCAACAGTAGCTACCCGTAGTATTGGGTCTGCCAGATCCTTATCCTGCCAATACAAATGATGCAAGTGAGTAGGCTTGTTGAAGTTGTTAGTCTTGATTCTCAACTGTATTGTCATCAGCTTTACAAGCGGTGTAACTCCCCCTGTCCTCAGCAGTTACTGCTGATTGACGCCGAGGCAAGTACAAGACAATTTGCCCCAGGGACTCAAATGGGATTACTCCTGATTTACGCTGGGGTCCGTGAGAGGGACTCAGCCCCAGTGTTTCCCAATTTTTCAATACTCGTATTTACTCTTACTTGCACAGGGGGCAGCAGACCCCAATCCTGCAAACATTTAGGCATATGAGTAGCTTTACTCACATGATGTTCCAAATTAACTTAAATGGGGTGACCCAGGTGACTATAGATGCACTTTCTGTCCCAATATCCAGGCTCCTTGCAGGCAGAGCAGGTGAAATCCATGCCTGCCTGCCACATGGGTTCCTTGCAGCTTCTGTTCCAACCTGTGCTAGAACAGAAGGTGGCCCTTCTGTGGTGGGTCCATGACGCCTTCCTTGGGCTTCCCACAATGATCAGGGGTACCATGTAACCCCGTGTTTGCTCACTGGGCTCTCTGTCCTCCATTAGTGGCTGGACCACGTGGACGTTTACAAGTCTGCTATAGCCACTGAACTATCAGAGTCAGGTCTTTTAGCTCAGGCAGCAGAGGCTCAGGTTCTTATATCCAAAGGTCCAGGGTGCAATTCCCACTGTCGACATGTCACCCAGAGGCGCCACGTAACAGTTACACTTCAGCATGTTTGCTCAGCATTGTGGCCTCATGCTTGGGGCTTTCCACGACGGGGGAGAATTTAACCCCGCATGCATCGGCGTTTGCAAAGTCAGGGCCATTTCAGCACCTGCACCTGCCATAGGTTTCACTAGACACTCAGCCCTCTCCAGATCTGGCCCCTACAGAAGGAAGTAGTCATAAAAGGGTGCCACTCCAGAATCTAATGACTGGGCTCTTCCAGATTTCCTTTCTTTAATGCTGCATTCAGCCGATACTGGGTTGCCTTGAGGACTCTCAGATTCTCACCTGATTCCTGTTATTCTTTTTCCTTTCATCCTTTTCACATTGCCAATACATTTTCGTTGTTTCTTTATGGCGATTTGAATTGCTTCCTATAATATTCTGTATTACTTCTAAAATTTATTTTATTCCTTCTCTGGTTTTCTTAACTGTTGCCTTGTTTCTATTTCTTGTAATACTTTTCAGTTAACTTTCCTTTTGTCTTTTTTTTTAACTTTTACAATTTCCATTTTTTTGGTATTTTCCTCTATTTTCTTCTATAAAATTTTCATATTTTTATTTTTATTTTAATGCTTCTTTTATCCACATTTTAACACCTTTGTTTACTTTAATTGTTAACCCCTTTCAATTACTTTCCTTACTATTTTAATCCTTCCCATTGTCTTTTAATTTTTTTTACCCATTTCCAAATTCAACCCTTTCCTTTTTACTCAACTATTTAGCCTCTTGGTTTCTATTTTTAATTATTTGTTTTTGATACTCTTCTAAAAAGGCTTTCAACCCTTTATTTTCTATGGCATTTAAATTTTTAGTATTTTTATCTAAACCTTTCATTTTTGTCTGTTTTTTTCCACAAAGTCTTAACTCCTCAGTATTTTTTAAAATTATTATTGGGTTTATTCATTTAGGGTTGATCCTGCAAACATTAACTCACATGATTAACAAGATGCATTGTGAATTCACCCTCTAATTACAGTGGAACTATTCAAGGTAGCAAAGTTAAACACATGCTTAAGTGTCTGCAGGATGGGAGCTTGAGTGTTTTGTCTTGTTTCTTATTTAATTTTTATCCACTACTTCAGCTTTCCCCTCCTCATCCTCCCTATTATAGCTTCCAGTAAGGGGCATAATGGAAATACTGGGACAGCCCCTCAGCTGGTGTTAGTTCCGTCGATGCAAGTTTGCACTAGCTGAGACTCTGGCCCAATAGCTGAAGGTCTCATTTGGCATGATTAGACAGAGGGATATAGGCAGAGCAGATGGAGCAAAGGGGTGTGAAGTGAAGATCAGAGCTGCAGGTTGGAGCAGCCTTGTGCAGAGCCTTGCAAGGGAGGACAAGGGACCCAGTTCAGCAAAGCACTTCACATATGGAAGTCAATGTTGAAACAGGATGGATTGTTGGATCAGGGTCAAGAAGCCTAGTACTGATGCAGAAGAAGGAGGGAGTATATTTGAAACAGAGAGTAAGAAAAATGCATGGACTAAAGGAACATGAGGTAGGAGTCAGGAGGTTGGCGGTGGACTGTTCAGGTTAAGTTATGGCCAGAACATGGGCCAAGGAACAGTGAAAAAGAAAGGATGGGCTCCAGAGGTGCTGGAGGAGGAAGAGCTGATGAGATCTGGGGACAGCACAGTTGGGGTAGGGGAGAAAGTTGACTGGGATTGTTTCGAGAAAAGAATGGCAGCCAGGAAGAGAATGGGCTTTCCATCAAACATGGAGAAGGCAGGAAAGACGGATGAAGTAGGAGAGACATGGGGTAGACAAAAAGACAGACAAGAAAGCAAAGAAAATTTTGATGAGCATTAAAAGGCAGTGCCCAGTGAGGGGCTTTCCATAGGGCTGAAAAAACTCTTCACTGTGAAAATACTTGTTTTTATTTTAACTCTCATTTCTGTGCGTGTGTTATTCTTGAACCAATCCTGACCCTTACATGCTCACGTGGTATAAATTAACATCACCCCACTATTAACTTCCATTAAACATCACTAATTTATACCAGCTGAAAACTTGGCCTAATGATTTATGTAAGTTGTTCTGTTGATGTTTACAATGGTCTGTCATCTGTTTTTTGCCAACCTTATAATTTGACTGTTCATTACTTTTTTGTGTGTGCTTTGGAGTAGTCACCAGGTCATGTGGTGCTGTTTCTGCTTCCTGGGTAGATTACTAAAACTTTTGTAAATGGATAAAATAGATTACAAATAATGAATATTACATGCTGCAGTGCAAATTTTTTAATATATACTTGTGTGAAAATTTGTGGCAACATCTTGGATTTGTGAACATTTTCATAAACAGCTCCAACTGTACATAAATAAAGCTGGCCAAAACATTGTTTTAAAATATGTGGTAGTGTTGGAGTGATGCTGTAGCCACAATGGTCCAGGAAATATGTAAGAGGCAAGGATTTTTGTGGGTGATATTTTTTACTGTATCAACTACATGGCTGGGATAGATTTAGAAAAGCTTTCAAATGCATGGCATTTCTCTTCAAGTAGCTGCATTCAAAAGCTTGTCAAAATCTATCCCAACCATATAGGTGGCCCAATAAAAGATGCCATTCACAAAATCCTTACCTCTCATTTAAAAAAATATGAGCTTTTCAAAAACATTTTGTTCTATTGTTTAAACAAAGCTTTTCCCTATATTTCTTTTTTTCAGAATGTTAATAACTTTTTATTTTTGAAGAATCGTAATTTTGGAAAATGATGTTAAGGACATAAGAAGTGCCATATGGGGTCAGACCAATGGTCCAAGTAGTCCAGTATTCTGTCTTTGACAGTAGCAGTGGATGCTATAGACTGGGAAAGCACTGAACTGGATATATCTAGAGTGATCTATCCCCTGTTCAGTACCCCCTCCCAACATCCACCCTCACTGGATGCCAGAGAAAACATCTCCAACTGTTCTGTTCAATAGCCATTAATAGATCTATCAACCATAAATTTGTTTAGTCCCATTTTGAACCTGCTGGTGCTCTGCCACCTCCTGTGGCAATGAATTCCACAAGTTAACTATCCTTTGCATTTAAAAAAACACTTTCTCTTGTTAGTTTTAAAACTGTCTCCTACTAATTTCCCCTACTTCTAGTATTCTGGGATTTGATGAACAACAGTTCCCTGTTCACTTGGTTCACACTTTCCATGATTTTACCTCTACCATATCCCTTCCTCTGCCTTCTCCTTTCCAAACTGAAGAGTCCTAGCCTTTTTAGTCAATCCGTGTATGGTATCTGTTCCGTTTCTTTGATCATTTTGGTTACCCTTCTCTGCATCTTTTCAAATTCTACTACATCTTTTGAGATGTATAGAACAGAATTGCACAAAGTACTCAAGATGTGGGCACACTGAATTTTTAATTGTTTTTTTAAATTTTAAAACAATAACGTTGATCGTGTTAGGTTTTTTATTTTTCAATAATTCAGTCCTAGGACTAATCAAAATTGATGAATAAAACAGAATCATAGAAAATTGAGGTTGGAAGGGACCTCATGAGGTCATCTAGTCCAGGGTTTCTCAACCTTTTAAGTAGCAAGTACCCCCTAACTTCTGAAAATTTTAATAAGTACCCCAACACTCAATTTTCCAGGGGATTTTATATTTACAGACTAATATGTGCCATATGTTGGAAGAAGGGCTGTGTATATAAGGCCGTGATATGACAGATGTCTGATCTGTTGCGGGTAGGGTTGCCACCCTTTATACCAGGGGTGCACAACTCAAGTATGTACCTGGGCTAGAGGTGATGTTGGCCAAAGGTAGGAGGGCTGAACCCAGTGCTGTACAAAGCGTGGCACACCAAATTATTACTGGGGAATTTAAAGTAATAATTTTTTGCCATAGTTTTGAGAGGAGGAAGGAGCAAGAGAGAGAAAGGAAAAGAAGGCGAGAGAGAGAGAGAGAGAAAGTGTTGGGGTACCTGTGTACCCTGTCTGGGTCTCACGTACCCCCAGGGGTACGCGTACCACAGGTTGAGAAACTATGATCTAGTCCAAACTCCTGCTCAAAGCAGGACTGTCCCCAACTATACCGTTCTACCTAAGGCTTTGTCTAGCCAGGTCTGAAAAACCTCCAAGGATGGAGATTCCACCACCTCTCTGGGTAACCTGTTCCAGTGCTTTACTAGCAAAAAGCAAGTGAAAACGTAAAAAATACACAAAAAAACTAACTAAAAGGCTCAAGTTTATGCAAAGGTTCTGTTAAAAAAAAAATTAAAAGGAAAATGGTTTCACAAATATGTTAATTTTTTAAACAGAACATTTTTGTCAAAAATATTTTCATTAAAAATACCTGATAGCTTTCTGAACATAAGAAATGCCACTTACAAGCTCAGTATCCTGATTCACACAATGGGAGTGTGTGGATGCTGAGTGAACAGGGCATGTTCATAGGCAGACAAGGTTCCTTGGGTGAATTTGATATCTTTTATTAGACCAACCCAAACAGTTGGAGAAAAGTTATTAAGCAAGCTTTCGGGTTCAAAAACCCTTTGTCAGGCTAAGGAAGTTTCAGCAGTTAGTGTGTGCTCTTCCTGGATGGAACCTAAACCCAGGGCATGTTCAGAATCTTCTGCTCTCTGATCTTTTCCAAATTCAGAGGTTTAGGAAGTTCTTATTCAGAGCCTGCACCTTTGTGCGCCATGTCCAATACCTACCAATGGGCCTTTTCTCCAAGAATGTATCCAGTCCCCTTTTGGACTGGGTTAATCTATACACCATCGTGTGGCAATGAGTTCCACAAGTCAATTCCCCACTGTGTGAAAAATAGCTTCCTTTTGTTAATTTTAAACCTACTACCTAATAGTTTATTTTTATATCCTCTAGTTCCCATACTTTGAGAGATCATATATAATAAATCCCTTTTTACTTTCTCTGCCCCATTTAATATTTTGGAGACATCTATCATGTCCCCCCTCAAGCATCTCTCTTCTAGGCTAATAAATCCTAGCCTACTTAGTATCTCCTCACATGGAACCCACTCCATAGCCCTGACCATCCATGATGATCATCCTTTTTGAGGTGTGGGGACCAGAATTGAACAACAACAACATCAACAATAATAATAGGCACAACATAGAACAATATGATGTAACATGTGCGAGAAGACTAGAACTTTGGCCCTCTTACGTATGAAAATGTTCACAAATCACTTTCAATGTTATCGATCTCACTTGAGGCAATAATCAGCAAGAAGAGATTGGAACTCCATGGTACCTAAACTGAGGATGGATGGATGGACAAGCAGCCAGAATTTGGCCAGGAAGATGGCATACCAAAATGAAGAGGAGATTAACCTGAAGTGAAGGAAACATATCAACAGGGGACTCTCTAGAAATGCCCTGAAGCATAAGAATATAAGCCAGGGCATGATGATATAGATAAGAAATAACTCAAGGGTGAATGTCTCAGTGGAACTGAAGACCAGAAAGGTTAATAAAATGAAAAAGCTGCTGAGAGCTTGACATAGATTGGAAAGCATGGGATAAATGTCAGGGTGGGAGGAAAGAGGTGAGGTGACATGGCAACTGGTGAATGGGAACTTGCAGTCCAAGAAGGGTCAGAAAGGTTGCTGGCTGCAGGTCAAGGAAGAATCAGGGAAACTGGTTCAGCACTGCAATTTCAATAAGGATGTTGGGGAGAGGAATCAAGATGCGTTAGTGCAGGAGGGGACCGCCAGCACAGAGCCTGGAGACACCAAAGATGAGAGAGAGGCCAGGTGCATTCTAGGGCAGAAGGAATCAAAAAGAAGTGGATGATGTGAACTTCAAAGAATGGGGAACAGAGAGAGCAGGGGAGTAGGACACCAAGTGTACAGTGCTGGGAGGGGGAAGGGTAAGAAGAAGGGAAAGAGAGGGCAGTGGCAGACAGGAGGGAAGAGGCAGGCCATTCAGGAATAGGGAAGAGTGATAGAGGCAAGATGTAGGAGGAAAGAGGAGGGCCCAGGGGGAAGCAATGGGGATCTGTTAGTTTATCAGGGATGAGGCCTGGGCTCCAGAGGGAGTGGGAGAAGGGAAGGAAGGGTGAGGGAAGGCACGAGATGGGAAGGACAGGGCCCAGGGCAGATCCAGTGGGGTGGTGGAGAGGGATGGGATGGGGAGGGGTGAGGGGGAGGAGGGGAAGGAGGGCAGGGATGGGATGGGGGCTGAAGAGGCACCCAGTGGAGAGGAGAAAGAGGTGGCAGCAGAGGAGAAGGCTGAGGAGGCCTGGAGGGGGTTGCTGGCACTGGATTTGGCAGTGGAGAGGAGCGAGGGCTTGTCCCCAGCATGCGTGCGCTGATGCCGGTTAAGGTGGGAGCTGCGGCTGAAGCACTTCCCGCACTCAGGGCACTTGTAGGGCTTCTCCCCAGTGTGGACGCGCTGGTGGATGGTCAGCTCTGAGCGCTGGATGAAGCTCTTCCCGCAGTCAGTGCACTGGTAGGGCTTCTCGCCCAGGTGGATGCGCTGGTGCTTGATGAGGTTGGAGCTGACACTGAAGCACTTCCCACAGACATTGCACTTGTACGGCTTCTCCCCAGTGTGCATGCGCCGATGCTTGGTCAGGTCCGACTTCTGGATGAAGCCTTTGCCACAATCAGGACACTTGTAGGGCTTCTCGCCCAGGTGCGTGCGCTGGTGTTTGATGAGGTTGGAGCGGACACTGAAGCTCTTCCCGCAGTCCCCGCACTTGTAGGGTTTCTCGCCAGTGTGCATGCGCCGGTGCTTCACCAGCGCTGAGTTCTGCCCAAAGCTCTTCCCACACTCGGGGCATGTGTAAGGCTTCTCACCGGTCTGAGTGCCTTGGTGCTTGACATTCTCTGCCCGGTAGGTGAAGCTCTTCCCGCACTCTGTGCACTTGTGGGTCCTTTCTGTTGCGGGGGGGGGCCTGGCTCGGGAGCTCCACAGGAAGCTCTTCCCACAGTCAGTGCACTTGCAGGGGCGCTCCCCAGTCAGCAGCCGACGACGCTTAGCACTGGCCAAGAAGCTCTTTCCACAGTCAGTGCACTGGCAGGGCTGCTCTGAGCCCAGGTGCACCCGCTGGTGCCGCTCCAAGTGCGAGCTCTGGGAGAAACTCTTGCCACAGTCCTCACAGCGGAAAGGCTTCTCTCCCATGTGGATACGCCGGTGTCGGTCCAAATGGGAACTCCAGGCAAAGCTCTTGCCGCAATCACTGCACTGGTAGGGCTTGCCAGCTGCATGGCTGCGCTGGTGCTGCAGCAATGAGGCGCTCAGCCCAAAGCTCTTGCCGCACTGGTCACATTTGTAGGGCTTCTCAGTGGCATGCACACGCTGGTGCTTGGCCAGTGTCGCACTCTTGTTGAAACCCCGACCGCATTCAGAACACTGGTAGGGTTTCTCTGTTCCTGTTCCTACCCCGCGCTGGGGTCTAGCACCATCTGTGCCACGGGGAGCGAAGCAGCGTCCACAGTCAGTGCACTTGCAGGCCTTCTCCCCACCTGTGTGGGTGCGACGGTGCCGGTCCAGGTGCGAGCTCCAGCTGAAGCTCTTCCCACACTCAGGGCAGGTGTACGGCTTTTCACCCGTATGGATGCGCCGGTGCCGCTCCAGGTGCGAGTTCCAGTTGAAACCTTTGCCACACTCATCACACTTGTAGGGCTTCTCCTCCAGGTGCAGCTTCTGGTGCTTGACCAGGCTGGTGCTGGTGCTGAAGCTCTTGCCACAGATGTTGCACTGGCAGGGCTTGACGCTGCCAGCATGGACACGCTGGTGCTGGATGAAGGCTGAGCCGACACTGAAGCTCTTGCCACAGTCAGCGCACTTGTACGGCTTGTCCCCAGCATGCCGGCGCTGATGAGTGATGAGGGTGGAGCTGAGCCGGAAGCATTTGCCACACTCGTTGCACTTGTAGGGCTTTTCTGTGCTGCGCAGCCGTTTGTTGAAGGAAGAGCCAAAGCCCAGGCTCTTGCCACAGTCATGGCAACGATTATGCCCCAGCAGACTCCGCTGGTGAAACTTTTTAAAGCCGCGGTGGGCAGATTTGTTCTGTTTCTTACCAGGGGGTTTCTTTGGCTGCCCTTCTGACTTGACTGGGCTCTCAGTGGACTTCACACCATCAGTACTCTGGGGGGTGCTTCCCTTGGATTTGCCCGGCAATGTCCCTTGGGCTTCCACCTTCTCAAGGTCTCTCTGCTGAGCATCTTCCTCTTCATTTTCACTCACCATCCCATCATCTGCTGGAACAACGAGAGAATCCAGTAACTCCCTGGGTCTGGGAAAGGAAACTTTGGAGAAGGGAATTGGAGAGTGTCTGTCACATATTCAAAAACCCATCAATAAGACTGAAAAATCAGGAGCTGGCTTTACCAGACTGCTCCACAGATCCCAAACCGCCCCACTGGGAATCTCCACCCACCACTTCGCCCTCTCTTAGAGACTCAGGTCTTGCTTTGGTGACCAGTAATGTGCATGGCTATAAGCGCAGATCAGATTTTTATACCCTTATTCAGGCCAAGGAGTACCTTATGTTGCAAACAATCCCATTGACTTCATATGAAATATTAATATATTTAGAGACAAAAGGAATCATTATGACCACAACTGGGCAAATAATTTGTTTTGGTTTGGTGGTTGAACTGAAAAAAACATTGCTTTGGGCTGATCTCAAATTAAAGTTTCAGTTTACTTGCTGAAATCAAATCCCAAGAAAGTTTTCATTATAGGTCAAACAAATGTTTTGTTCAATCAAAAATAGAGGGCTTTGTTTCCCTTCTGTATTTAAAAAAAAAATCACTTTAGCTTAATATGGTTCTGAAAAGTCATTTTAAAATGAAAAATCAGAGCCTTTCACCTAGAACATGTTGAAGTGAAATGTTTCAGTTTTTCAGAAAACCTTTTCCTCTTTTTGACCCATCTTTGTGATTAGTGAAACTGCATTTTTTGGCAAATGAACCATTTACTTGAAAAACTTTGCCCAGTTCTAGTTATTATGATCTAGCTTCATCCCTTCTTGAACAAAACAAGCCAAAGCAACACCCAGTTACCCCCTTGCAGGGCCCAAGAACAAATGGAGTGGGGTCTCTCAAATGCATGTTTATCAAAATCAATCCCTAAATAATATCTCCCAACAGGTCCCCATTTTGTCTTTGACTGTCCAAATTTTTTTCTTAGCAATGCATAAGATTTTATCTATGAAAGTGTAGACATTATGGAGTTGGACTAAAATAAGTCTTATTACTCCCAGGTAGCAGTCCCTCCATTGTTAAATTTACAATCAGTTTGTCTTTTTAACAGGAAAATTCTACAGGAAGGGACTGTTGTAAAAGAGACTGGAATGACAGACAATTTCCAGTCTGCTGAAATCTTCCCCTTTTTATTGTTTTCCATCCAGCCTTACTGGTGCAGTGTGATTTTGTTGTCCACAAACCTGAGACATTTTCCAAAAATTTCAAAAAGGAGCCAGTTTAGGTCTTTTCCTCTCAGTAAGTGCTTACTCAAAGCAATGAACTATTTCAGGAATCCACTAATTGTTAAAGGGTATTAACCTGAAATGTATGAAAGGAAAAGGTTTTATTTTTTTGAGTTACAAGATGGATCAAAATAAGTCTTATTAATAGGACATTGGTTGCAATCTGACATGTAAAAAAACTGTTACTTCTTCATAATAAAACACACAACGGCACAGCCGGGATTAAAACTGTTTTCTCAGTTCTAAAATAAAAACCAAACCCAGAGGCTGCTAATGCTTGAGCTGGAGAAGTTTACAGAAATATGGTATGCTTAGAAGTTGAACCCAGCCAATAGTGAGTAATATTCTCACACATATTTTGAAGTTGAAACCAGCCAATAGTGAGTAATATTCTCACACATACATATCAACCTCAATCTTGCAAACACATGCTTCCTGCTGTAATGAAGAACAGGTATAACAGTTTGCAGGGTCACGTCCACAGCTGTAACATGGCTTTCACTGAAGTTAATGGCAAAATATCACCAGTAACTTTAATGAGAATGAGACGGGAACTCAAATTGATGACAACCAAAATCATTCGTTATTGCGAGGCAGTGATTTGGTGCAAAGAGCATGTTACCTGAAGTCAGGACTCCTGTGGTCTATTTCTAGGTCTGTGACCCTGGTGCAAGTCACTTGATCTGTTTGCCCTCCCATCCTTTGTCTACTCACGCTGTCAAGGTATGTCTACGCTGGAGATGGCAATGTAGCCTAGAGACCCCTGAAAAAGCTTGGATGCTGGAAGTAATCTGCAGCAAAACTCAGCACAGACTAATTCACCATACCAAGTAGGCTAAATTAGCCTGTGCTGAGCTGTTCACTGCTCTAGCTGAACTGCTTCTGGTAATCAGGCTAAATCAGGAATGTCTATGTTACATGGCAGCATGCAGCATTGACATACCTTACATTCCCGAAGTAGAGAGCGTCTCTTACTCTGCGTATGTGCAGTTCCCAGCACATTGGGGTCTCAAACTCAGAAGTAAAGCAGATTGTGCTCTCATTACTCACCAGCGTAGAGAACCAGTTAGCCCCCAAATTAGTTGAAACGTGCCACTAACTGGCTTTGGTTTCACAGCAGCCTCAGGGATAGCTATTATCATAATTGACTAAATTGGATGTCAAACATTATCCCTACAGAGCAAAATCCACCCATTTTAAGAAAGAAGCATGTCACTGGTATGCTGCATGGGAGGGATCGCTAGGTTTTGCTGACCCCCTGCATAGGGGCAGATAAGGTTCTCAAAATGGAAAAGGAGAAGCAATCAGCACAATGACAGCCACTGCTAGGGTGTCCCATCTGCACTGCAATAAAGAAGCAGGCTGAACTGGTGAGAGAGAGAACCAGGTGCCAGCTGAGACCTCTGGCAAGGATGACACATTGTAGCTGCCATGGTTACCACTGAGCATTCACTGCCTTCTGAGAGCGCACACACCAACCACATCACTGAGCATTTGCAAATTCAATTAGGGGTGTAGTGCAAGCAGAGTTTGAGAGGCAGGATTATAAATGGCACAGAGACCAAGCTAAGCCTCCAGTACCATCCACACACAGAGGAATACTATTTTGGGGAGGCCGGGGAGATACCATGACCACCAAGGTAGTTTTCCTACTGGCTGGGAAAAACCACAAGCATGGCAGGGAGTAGTACCCTGACCGAGGTAATGCATAGTTAGCTTCTCACTTTCACTCCCAGTGGGAAGATCTTAGCTATACCCTGACTTTATGGACATGGGAGACTCCTTCCTAGCTTGCTCCTGTGGCCATATGGCTGAAGGCAAGTGAAACTCGGGGGCATCTGAACCCCAAGCCTCCGGGCTTGGGTCTGCACACAGGATGCCCGCCAAAGGACTTGGAAGAATCTGAAACCCCAAGCAGGGGTGGAGAAGCAGGACCACATACGGTTCTTGAATGACTCATGGATTTGGAATTGATTTGGCTGATTTGACTTGGGACATGAGAAATTTTCCTAAAAAAAAAAAAAATCCAAAACTATTTTGGTGAGAAGAGAAAGTAGTGGAACTAGAGAAAAAAAGTGTGACGGGGAAACAGGCTGGCCTTGAAGTTAAGGCAAAGTCCTAGCCTTTAAGAAATCTGGGATTGATTGCCACCTCTACCACACAGATGCTTTGTGTCCCTGGGCAAATTACTATATCAATTGGCCATCGCTTCCTCTTCTGTGAAAAGCAGATAATCAGCCTGTCTGAGTATTTTGTCTATTTATATTGTAAGCCGTTCAGGTCAGGGAATGTATTTGTGCGGTACCCAGCACAATGAGGCTATGATCTTGGTTAGAACTTCTAGGTGCTAGTGAGATACAAATAGATTTGAATCATGATGGATGTACTGAAAAAGCTATAGTGATAATAAAAGTCAAAGTACATACAAAATTAAGAATGGAAAATATAGCCAAAAAGGAGAAAGGCATGCTTGCATTGGCATGGATAAGGTCCAGTAAATGGAGACAAAAAATGATCCATGCTGCATCTTGCCAAAGTGAGATCAAAGGTTATGATTCGATTTAGAAGAAAAACTCACAGGAAAAAGTGTTTTGTGGGTACAGACTGGACTGAGAAGATGGACAAGGGACAGAAACCAGCAGTGTAGCTTGGGGGTGGGGAAGGGGAGGGAGTGAATGGGGCAGCTGCCCTGTGCACCAAGCTGCCTTTGCAGAGGGGTGCAAAAATAGCTGTGACTGCAGCAGTGGCTGGTTGCACCACTGCCATGGGCACTGCAGCAGACAGCATTGCACAGGGCATCACATGGCTGCTTGGGGCGCAGATCTGCCCAACAAAGCCTCTGGCAGAAAACTCCTTTGGAAGAGGGGCTTTAGTCAGGTGAGTTAGGTCAGCCAGTCACACATGCATTTCATTTTAGCGAGGGATACAGGAAAGCAAACAAGCAGCTCAGTGAGAAGGATGTGAATGCTTGTACACACCCTTCCACCAAACTTAACTATGAACAAAGGAGAAATAACAGCTTGTAGAAACACCATGTCAGATCTTCAGCTGGTGTAAACTGGCATGGAGCCATCTGTCTTCATATTCAAGTTTGGATTCAGCAGAACTATAGTGATATGTACCAGTTGGGGATCTGGCACATCAATGCCATTATTTGCAGATGTGTTTTCAGGTGAGGGAGTGTGTTCAGGCCCCACTGAAAGCTAAGAAAGAGGTATTTATGATGCTAAGGAATATTCATTTCTAGGTGAGTCATGTTACTATACTAGGTTATTTTAAGAGTTATTTCAGCCTTGAGCACTTTTGAGGAATCTGGGTGAAGAAGATGCTGTGATTCAGTGGGAAACTGTGAGAAAATTTTAGAGCATATGTGTCAGCTGAATGAAGCTACACATATTCCAAAACAAACACTTCATTTTGCATATTGATGACCTTGCAAAATGGCACACACTGCCTAGCACATATGTGAAAACATCACATACTAAAGAATAAGAAGGAACAGCTTCCCAAAAGCAGTAGCAGGGGCAAGAAAAAGTAACAAGTGTGAATAGGAAGCTGGAAAAGTTTATGAAAGGGATGATGACACCGCTGCCTGCAGTGACTCAAGGTACCCCTTCCCATCCTATATTCCTAACTCTCTGACATAGCCAAGTGTCTAGGGGTATCAAAAAAATGAGATGTTTCATGGCAATCAGCGAGAAAGCATGCAATCATGAAATTGGAAACTATTGCAATGCTTGTGCACAAAAGTGTAGAACATATGCTGCATGTTCAACCTTCACTTAAGGCACTTCTTGATTTTGCACAGCTTCATGCTACAACAGTAATGTGATTAGTAGAAACAGACTTGACGTGGATCATGTTCTTGTGCCACTGTTTTTTCAGATGCAATCAGTTTACAATTCATGATACCATTATCATGGCACCAAAGTGTACCAGATGAATTCTGAGCACTGTTATGCTGGGTGCTGTACAAACATCTAGTAAGAGACTTGCCCCCAAAAGCTTAGTTTAATACACAACACAAACATGTGCAAA